TTTCAATTGCCAGCTCTATGGTAAGGATTCCCAAGACTGTCTTTTTTTTTTTTTTAAAGCTGCAAAGTTTTGGCATAATTTGTTTTTTTTTAAATTCTTATTGGTGCATTATAATTATACATAATAGTGGAATTCGTTATTAACATATTCCTACATGCACACAATAGAACAATAAAATTTGGTCAGTTTTGTTCCTCATCAAGTCTAAATCTTGAGTCAACACTGTTCTTAAGATTTCAATGTTGTTTATCCAACAAACCATTACATATCTGCACTCAGATGTCTCCCAGAGACCTCAAACTCAGCTGTCCAACATTGTCATCAGATGCATGCCTCATTCTGCTCTGTGATCTGTGACCTATGACCTGCTTCTCAGAGAAGATTACTTCCTTGCCACATGGTTCAAGGCAAGGAAGCCTTGATTCTTCCCCTTTCCTTACTCCCTATGTCTAAGCAAACCAGGTCCTACTGATTCTAATCCTTCCAAAATCTCTTAGATCTCCCCATTTTGCTCCATCCTCTTTGGCACACGTGGCACAAAGCTTTGTGCCATCTCCTGCCTGGATCATTAGCTGGGTTCCTTGTCCTGCGTGTTCTTGGACTTGGTTTACCCGTACCTTTTACCTCTTTACCCTGAATTTCTTGATGGCCTCCTTCAGTGACTGTCTTTCGGTTCTTTCAAACTCTTTTCCTTCAGGAACCTCCCTCTTGAGTTGTTGGTTGTTTTTGGCTTGGTGACATTTGCTCCTCCTAACACCTGGATGAGGCCACTCAGCTTTTAAGTCTCCCTTAGTTCCTGGCTCTGTTTTTAGGAACCCTAAACAGAACCCCTCTGTTGTTTCCACTCTGAGTTAGGGTGCCTTCTATTGCCCCTCAGCTGCACACCCTCCATTTATCTCTGTGGATAGGATGGTCTCTTCAGGAGTTTTCATTTTCTCATAAGTCCTTTGGGGAAAGTGATTTGCCAGACATCTACTGTCTAGTACATTGCTAATAAATATTTGGGAGAAAAAAATAAAGAACTAATGAATACCTCAAAACAGGGCCCATTAATATGAGCAGGGCCCCTCTTGCTGGGTGAAACAAATTCTGTGTCTCCTTCATTCTTTATTTCTGAGTCCAATGCTGGTAGAATCATATTTAATCCAACAGAAAGAGGAGGTCAAGAAACTGTTAGGATTTGCAGGACCTCTAAAGATCATCTTCAATTTACAGATAAAATTACAAAAGCCCAGGGAGACTCCCTTATTTCCCTATCCTTTTATAGAGGACTCCTGTAATTCCTGTCTTAGGATATTTTTTTCCAGGCCTTTAAAATTTTGCCATTTTGGTATAGACAAAATATGTGATTTGTTTGTTTGCTTTCATTTGATTTCCCATGGATCACACCGAGTTGAATATATTTCTAACACTTAACAGCCAACTGAGGTTTCTTTTTACTCAATTGCCTGTATACAGCCTTTGCTCATTTCTGATTGGATCATTTGGTTTTTCTTACACGTTTTTGGGAACTCCTTCTATACTCTGTCTACTAATTCTTAGTCATTTACAGGAATTGTAAACATCCAGTAAATCTGAAGGTACATCTCACCTGTGGCCCACTGACTCTACGCTTAGGCAGATACCATTGAGAGAAACTCTCACACATGCCCAGGGAAGTATTTGAGAGATGTTTACTTTTTGTAAAAGCACAAAATTGAAAATACCTACATGTACATTTACCTCCCCGTGTGTTTCACCTACCCTGAATAAATCATTAAATTATGATATGTTCATATAATGGAAATAAGGAGCTTAAATGGATGAACTGGATTTACATGTTAGCAACAGAGATGGTGGTAGAAAATATCAATACACACAGTATTTCACAGGCCCAAGTTTGAAAATCCCAAGAAACATTCTAAATAATGTTCATGAGCAAATACATATAGGATAAAAGCAAAGGACACACACTGCAGAACACTGCTTTCATCTGGGCAGAAGGCAGGATTAAGATAGGGCAGTCGACGGGGCCTGTGATGTGTCTTCTTTAAAAGAGATTTGTGGGAAACAGAAAAATATTAACATGTGTTAAATAAGAGCTGTGGGTAACTATATGACCATCACGTTATTTTTTATTCTTTGTGAGGGCTTGAAATACTTCCTAAAAAAAAAAAAAGCAATGACAGAATGTGTGCATCTTTGAAGTCTGGGAAAACAGGATGCACTTGAGGAACTAACTTACAGATGGAGGAGAGGGTTCCAGTGACTGTCAGGAAAAGTTTCTAGTGGGGGGTTAAAAAAAAAAGAGAGAAAAGGAAAAGAAAGTAAAGAAAGGCTGATCATGAGATACCTTGCTAGCTGATCAGGGTAGGGAGGAGTTAGAAACCTATAAATATTAAAATTACTAGAAAGAGAAATACATCAGTGGGAGCGATACTTTTAGGTTAAACCTTTCTAATCCATATACAGCAATAGATTATAGCCTAAGAAATAACTCAAAGTTCATCAAGGCAAACTCTTTCATATTAGTCATTTAAAAAAAAAAGCCCAGAAAAGTTGAAATGTAAAGAGGAGAGAGGGATTTTGTATGTGGATATTAGGATAAGCATAATCAAGTCATTCTCTAATTTTCTATTAGCTGACTACTTAGGTGATATAACAACTGTACTGTAGAGACAGATTTTTGAGAATGTTACAGGGGATAGGTGAATTTTGATTAGGAGGTAAGGATATTGTGACTAATGCAGACTTTGGGGCTTCCAAAAGGTAACACCAAATGTGCTGTTGCTTGCGATATGAGGTATTCAGAATGGAGGCATTCATGGAGGACATTGGAGTCAAACTGCTGCTACCCCACCATGGTGCCAGCTGGGTCCAGCTTGCTGGCTGATCAATATCACTCTGGATTCCCCCAGCTTTTATGGCTCCTCCAATAAAGTCTATCTAGTTAGGTGACCCAAGGCTAAGAGATAACTGCGAGGACCTTCTATGAAGATATACAAAAGGTGACTTATGGTCATCACTAAAGTCAGTCATTGTGACTTTTCTGGTTATGGGCAAGTTGTGAGACCTGGTATGCACCACTAGCGTCCATCTTTGCTTCGTTTACATAAGTCTGAGGATCACTATCAGATATGACACTGGTAAAGATAAAGTAGGCAGCTGACTGCAGCACGAACCACTGTCTAAATCAGCTCATCCACAGCTTTACCATCACAAGTGACCTCACACTCCCCGCCAGTTAGAGATACAGACGCCAGAGGGGCTTGACACCTCCTCAGACATGAATACAGGGGGACTGTTCAGAGAAGAGGGTCTTCTGAAAGTATAATTAGGAGCTTTGCTTCTACAGCATATCAATACTACAGTGAATTTACTGCATTAGCTAATTGCATCTTTTAAAGGAATAGGGAGCTTTGTCCTCAAAAAATGAGATATAAGACTGGCAGACTTCAGTATGTTGATGACAGGCTAGACTAAACTAAAGAAAAAGAAAGAAATATCAGAGAATTGAACTTCTCTTGGTCACCTCTCATTCAGACCCCACCAGGCTAGCTCCCTCTATTTTGTATGTTCTTAGGACCTTAAGTTGTCCTTTGTAATGCTTATAAATATTTTAATTAACTACAAATTTGTGTGATTTTTTATTTTATTTTTTTTCAGGGCCGAGGACCAAACTCAGGGCCTTGCGTGTGCTAGGCAAGCACTCTGCCAGTGAGCTAAATCCCCAATCCCTTTGTTGTTTATTCTTCTAGATAGACTGTAGACTCCAAGAGTCTAGGAACTACATCTCCTTTATGGTTTGCAATATCCTGGAACCTAGCCTGGTGCCGAGTTTATAGTAGGCGCTCAGCATGTACTTGTTGAATGAATGTGATTAAATGAATGAATAAGAACAAAATGAGTGAATGAAGAATGAGTAAATCAATGGGTGGTGTATGTGGAGGCCCAGGAAGGACAATGAGGAGGGTAGATCCATGAGGGGAGATCATAGGAAGGGCTCTGTTCTTCAGCTCATCAACATGAGACCGGGATAGGAGTGGCAAATGTTTTAGGGTCAGGAAGGAGACATCCCTGGGCAGTGAGGGAACCAAGAAATTTTCTGAGAATAAAGGAAATGTTATCCCTGGATGTTGTACAAAGTCAAATTTGTTATATTTCTTAATTTCTCCTGGGTTAGCCACAGGAGAATGATCTGAGTGAAACTACTGCATGTCACCCTACTACCTCAAACGACAATAGTATCTAGAGAAGGACCATGAAGATATTGCTTTAAATTTAAGTGCACTCAGTGTAGAGTTTATAAGTGTTGGATGCTCGTAATCCTTAAAATTTTCACACAAGGGTTTACCATCACTGGCATTATCTTTTATAACATAATTGAACTACCTATTCTTGCAATGACTTAGGAATAAAGGCATTGGGTAAATATGAAATGGTATTACTATACCATAACCATTTGATTCTCGATGACTTACCTTAAGGAACAGAGTCTTGCTACCACTTTCCCATGATATTTAAAGCTTGGGTTATGAGATTCCCAGAATAGGAAGTATAAAAATCCAGAACACAGAATTCAGTCATCTGTTTGATCTAACTCTCTTCCCTGTTTACCTTATAACTATATCTACATTGCCCCAAACATAGAAATTTTATATTTTATATTTTAAATATTTTACCTTTTGTCCTGAGGTTAATATAGAGGTATAAATTTCATGGTGATCATCACTGATATTTATGTTAAAAACTGGCACTTCAAGTCATTTTTTTGGTTTAGAATATACTAAGAGCTTGGTGATACTATTGCTTCTTTTGAAGATGTTGCAAGTATGAATGGGTCAAAGGTATAGTTTGACCAGTGTGTCGAGAAGGTGGCACATTGTTTCTATAATAAGGAGGTACTATCATTATTATTATTATTATTATTATTATTATTATTATTTTGAGAGAGAGAGACAGAGAGAGAAAGAGAGAGAGATAGAGAGAGAGAGAGAATTTTTTTAATATTTATTTTTTAGTTTTCGGTGGACACAACATCTTTGTTTTACGTGATGCTGAGGATCAAACCCAGTGCCCCGCGCATGCCAGGTGAGTGCGCTACTGCTTGAGCCACATCCCCAGCCCACTATTATTATTTTTAAAAATACAACCTCCTTAGCTTCCTTTGTTCAAATTGTGTATGTATGTAGAGACATGAAATTTTCCCCAACTTTTTGAGAATGGATAATATTTCAAATTTTTAAAATAGACTTCAAGAGCAGTTTTATCAGAAAAACCAAGCAGAAAGAGTTTCTATTACCTCCTCTCTCCCCAAGCTGCACAGTTTCTCCTATTAACATCTTGCTTTGTTGTGGCACATTTTTACAATTGGTGAACCAATATGGTTATATTATTATTAACTAAAGTTCACAGTAGACATCAGATTTCACTCTTTGTACTCTCCAGTTCTGTGGGTTTTGATAAATGCACAATGTCAAGTATCCATCATTACAGTAACATAAAGAACAGTTTCACTGCCATAAACATTTCTTGTGCTTCATTTATTCATCCTTCTTTTTTCCTCACAAAACCCGCAGTCAAATAATTTTATAGAAAGTTGAATCTTATTATTCCAATAGTGAATTGAATAATGCCAGAAACACAATTAAAAACTAATGGGCCATGTATAATATTTAATTCTCATTCTATTATTATTTTCATCTTCTTATTACTTCAAGTTCTACTTTTGAACAGTACACTTTATGAACATGAATTTGTGTAATTACTTGGAAAGCTTATCAATTAATTCTTTTCATCATCTATTTTTATCTCTAGTATTGGGAGTCCCCTTCCCCCCCCAAAAAAAAAGATATGTCTGGAATAAGAATGGAAATTTTGTTCCAAATTTTTCTTCCTTATTATTGAAGGTAAGGGACATGCAACTGTCAACTGCAGCTCATTTGTGAGTGTATTCGCCCCTGGTTTCCAAGTCCTCAGTATAATCGCATATCTCTGTCAGGCATACCATCTGCAACATTAAGAATTGTTACCAAATACCTAAACGTGCACAGCACTGTTAGGTGTGACCCATGGGAACTGCTTGACAGTCATTCTCTGGATCCCTGAGACCTGCCCAGAGCTTTCCTTGCCTCCCAGACAGGGTGCTGGGATTAGGGTCAACTTCTACTTGGCATTGTCAAGCAAGCAGGGAGATCCTTGGAGTGGATGCCCTTCCCACTGATGTTGCCTTAGTGTGTCACGCTTAACCAAAGGGACAAAAATCTCCCAGCTCTACAGCAACTGAACTCCCTAAAGAATAGCTTGCCTAATTCATATATTACCCTCCCTAGCCTTCACAGAATCCAACACTTCCTCTGAAGCATGGTACTCAATTTTTTTTCATATTAGTTCAAAAATAAAGCCTGTTGAATACATTACCATGGCTACTCCTCTAATTAATGAAAAGATGGTGCTGAGTTTAAAAACAATTCACTCTTTCCAGATCCAAGTTACTTTTAGGAGCTATTATAAACCATTACCTTTCTCTACATCAGAGGTGTCTCATGACTAAAGGTTGAGACAGCCCCCATGATGCTCTTTAACAATGACTCTTGTGTTTCTTTTGGTAAACTCATAATGTTAATTACACTCTGCAGCAGATGGCGCGCCTTCCATCAAGGACCTCAATGCACCTAACAAATGCTCTGAGTCATCAAAGCTCTCCTATAATGGAGGTAAGTATCTATGGTCACAATTTTTATAGTTACAGAAGCACAAAGAAAGTTAAGTGTTTTGTTTTTTAAAGTAGAATATATTTTCGTCAAAAGTTTTAGTCATAATTTCTGAAAGCACAGAAAGCTCAATGAGCATGTACAGAATGAATATGAATGAAATGTCTCATCAGCAAGATTTGGGTTTCCTGGCAAAGAATACCTGCATAATATTAATTATTTTGAAGAACTACAGGTGACCCTATCAGAAATTGTCTCTTGCTCATGAGTCCATTTTTACAATGATTAGTGTAGAAAATCACTATTTGATCATCATAGTGATAAGGTAAATCTTGAAAACAGAAATGGTCATTATTTTTTGTAACATGATGTAGAAACATTGAAACTTAGAGCTAAAAGATTCCAGAGATTATTTAGTCAAGCACTTTTGTATTTTAGATGAGAAAATTGAGATCTGGAAAGGTTAATAAGTGGCTTGCATGAAATCACTCAGCTTTTAAAACATTTATTTAATTTCTTTGTATTCTCCCCTATTTCAGAAAAGGTTTAATTTGACTTGTCTACTTGACTTGTCTACTTGGTTGGTTAGTGACGTGGGTAACTATAGTCCAGCCTCCTGACCCTAATTGGTTCATATTCACACTAAATTACATTTCTAAAAATTTTCACAAGTATCTTTACCACCCTAAGTATCATTAAAAAAAAAGTATGTGAGAGTGGTAAGGAGGTCACTTCTGTTATCCTTTTCTTTAATTGATGAAGAATCTAATATTCAGGAAGTTAAAGGGAGGCCCTCAAGGCCACTTGGCTGGTTACTGGCATGCACAGACCTTGAACACTCAGTCTCTTTCCTTTCCAAGAATCTGGAACTTTCATCTATGAATCAGAATCTCAGAAACCAAAACCACCACAGTACAATTTTATCCTGGCTTTTCTGAAATTTGCTTTTACTAAAGACAAAGGGAAAATAAGCAAGGAATATTAAGGGAAAAAATGATTTTTAGAAAGAGTCCAGGGCAGGTAATCAGGGCAGTAGTAATTATTTGATCTTCTAAACCTGAGACTCCAGACAACGATGACTCTGATTTATTATAATGAACTGAGGTATTATAAGATTCGTAAGTGTTTATTGAATTTTCAGAGACTGAACAAACTCCATCAAGGTTTTACGGCTGTGAGTTTTTATTTATAATGAAAATTGGCAGCTGGGTGCAGTAGCATGCTCCTATAGTTCCAGTTGCTCAGGATGCTGAGGCAGGGGGATTGCTTGAATCTGGGAGGTTAAGGGCATTCTAGGCAAACTAGAAGGCCCATGCCTCAAGGAAAAAAGAAACGAAAAGGAGAAAGAGAGAGGAAGGAAATTGGCAATCACAAGTAAAATATATAGTGACCCTCATTGAACAATAACATCGAACTAAAATAACAAACTGATTTTTTTTAACTGTCACTGATAACCTGGGATTACTAGAATTTTTGTCTATTTTGAATTTGTATCATCCTATTCTCCAATCCCCAAATTAAACAGAATGCTTGAATCAGTTTTCAAGATAGTTTTTCCTCATATCTTTCCTTCCCGAAGAAGTTAGCACACACAAATGTACACTTTTGATCATCTAGCCAACTTTTTAAAAATTATAAAATAAAAGCATCCATATCAAATTAATCTTGCCGTATAATAGGGCTTGCCATTTGTACAGTTTTTAACTGAAGCTGGTAATGAAAAATGGGTGGTTCTTTGGATATCACTATGAGCCAGTAAAACAGACTCCTGCTATTATAGAAATGGAGAAGGTGAAGGCTGGCGGTGGGGTTGGGAGTGGGGAGGGGACTGGTTAAAGACTTTCCATGAGTCATAGTTATCAGGTTGTCAAACATTCCTGTTATATCCTCAACTTTAATGGCAAACTAGATCTGGGGAGTTTGTATTGGGCTCCGATTCTAAAATGTACTTACCTCTAGACTTGCTGTTGCTAATATTTGCCCTGGTAACTTTACATCCTGCATCCTTAACACACATAAGCTCACCATCTGAAAATGACTCCTGCTACCATTTGTAAGGAAATTAACCATGGAGGGTCCCATTACCCTGTTTCTCTCTCTGTGAGTACTAGGGTCTTCGAAAGCTTGTACTGTGGAATTTGTACTGTGAGTTGAATATTAATAAGATAAGGAGAAGAAACAAGTTTCTCTGTTCCTTTAAAGCCCCAAATTGGCACCATGAGGAGGAAAAATCAGGCGTGCCAGCCTTGCACACAGTTTCCTGTTAATACCTTTTGATAACTGAAGGAATCACATTAGTTTAGATTTTTTAGATCACAGCTTAAAAAATTTTTTTAAGCAAAACATTCAAGAAGTTAGCATCCTTTACATTAGTTACCTGCTTTGTTTTACCAGAACCATGAAATTTTAGTTTGTTACTCCTTTCTATACATTCTTTTTGAGGTGGAGTTAGGATTAGCAATGGCATTTAACACAAGACAAAAAAAAAACATTTAGAACGCCTTCAAGAGATACATTAATACGCTGTTTTGTTCCTGTATTTTCTAGGTACAGATGCTTATTTCTGTGGACTTTTCCTCTGGCAGACTCTTACCTTCCTTTCCTTATCTAAGTTCTTAACTTCAATATAAAATAGGCAAAAGATCTATAGAAGGGTATTTTAGGTTTGTATGTAAATGAGACTTAAAAAGAGAAAGTTGAAAAAAAATAAAAAATGTTAAAAAAGAGAGTTGAGAAGAAAAGGTTGAGATTGTGCAATTTCTTTTTATTCTTTCCTACAGCTGATTGATGGGTAAACCCAGAGGCAGCATTTTAATCTGTGGTTGTTACACATGCCCTTACATCTTCTATCATCCGGGATACCAAAATGCTTAACAGCATTGGAATAGAATCCTCATAACATCTTTTCAAATTAAATAGATGGCCTGAATTATCAGCCTCATTTGTTAGGGAAAAAAAAAATGCAGAAGTCAATGTGAATTACAAGAACCCCCAAATACTAGTAGCCTTAAAGAGCAATTGAAAGCCTATGTCCAAATTCTTTCCCTAAGAGTTTGAATTTGAGTCCATTCAACACAAAGAAGCCAGGTGCAATGAGGCACACCTGTAATCCCAGCAGCTCTGGAGGCCTAGGCAGGGGGATCGTGAGTTCAAAGCCAGTCTCAGCAAAAGTGAGGCACTAAGCAACTCAGTGAGACCCTGTCTCTAACTAAAATAAAAACAGGGCTGGGGATGAGGCTTGGTGGCCAGGTGCCCCTGAGTCCAATCCCAGGTACGCGCCCTCCACCCCCCAAAAAAACCCCACCACCAACAACAAAACCAAACAACAGGAAGCAATTTCTACCACATAAGGAGCATAAAGTTGCCAAAAAATCATAATGTCAGTGAGAAAAGAGAACAGGGATTAAATCAAGTTTAATTTTCAGGTCACTGACTTCATTGCTTTAAGTGACAACTATTTAGAATAACGTAGTTTTCTATATGTCACGTTCTGTTTTTAGAAGAAAAGTATGGATGGCAATGTGGTGCTTAATAAGTGCTCAGATATGGGAATGGAATGGATAATTGATAAGTATTATAAATGGAATGGGATTCAAATTGACTTCAATATAATAAATAAATTTTAAAATTTATTTGCCAAAACTCCTTAAGATTATTAAAACTCTAGGAACCATTCTAACAATAAAACTAACTGAATCTTTATCATATGCAAAACATGGTCCCAGGTGCTGAAGGGATCCAGGAATAAGAATGCAAAGTGCTTACCTGGGCAAAGTTTAGCTAACGTGGAATATGTGCTTACACAGGGCAATGATCTCTCTTTTTTTTTTTTTTAACCAATATTGAAAGTCATTTTTCTGCATTATCTACTCTATTGCTTTAGTTATACAGCCTCCTGCTTTCAGAAGAATTTATAATTCAGCAGTCCTATTTATTATTTCAGTACATCTTTTTAGCATTCCTGAGGTTTTAGCAATAGTTATTATGATCCCCATCTTATAGACAACAAACTGAGGTTAAATGAATTATTCAAGTTCAAGCAAGTGTAAGGATGAGACCTCTGTCTCCTATCTGCACCATTTTCCCCCCCACTAAATTGCCCCACCTAAAGATAGGCTATTTGAGCTTTCTAGCAGGAAATTGGAAGGTACTTAATAATTTTTTTCTTCAGTAAGATTTCTCTTAATAAAATATTATAATAAAATTGCTAAGAAAATATGAAAATAAAGATATGTGAATACATATTATTCCACTCACAGTTTCTTTCTCTCTCTCTCTTTCTTTTGCTTTTTCCAATACTGGAATTGGACCCAGGGGTGCTCTATCACTGCCCTTTTCACTTTTTATTTTGAGAGAGAATCTTGCTAAGTTGCTGAGGCTGGCCTCAAACTTGTGATCCTCCTGCCTCAGCCTTCTGAGTCATTGGGATTACAGGCATGCACCACTACACCTGAATAGTTTCTTTCTTGATAATTTTCTATGTACTGACACGTTTTCAAAATGCGAGCCTATTACATCCATAACTCTGTATTCAATAAATGGTGAGATTGCCATATTAACAGTGTGAATGTACTATAAAAGAATTTCGCCCCTTCCTTATGATGCATACTTTCTTTGTCTGTCATTTACTTATTACATTTCTTATTTTCTGAATTAGATTTTGGTTGTCAGAGAGTGCAATCCATATCTGACTCACTTTTATTTTTAATTCCCTAGCATTTAACACTATGCACTGAACAGAATACATGCTTGATAAGCACTTGCTGAATGAATGAATGAATGGTTTCTTCCCCTGGGGAAAAGAGAACACAAATGCATCGGTGACAGTGGACTCTGCTCACCTGTTCTCCTTACTTCTTTCTGTTGAGTTCCCTGAAGCTGTGGCTGGATCTTTTCTGTTTCTAGTAGCATAACTGGAAACGAAAGCCAAACTTTAAATCTTGGCTTCGTGTTTCTAATGTCTCCCTCAGTGACTTCCTTGTTCCA